TTACTAATGAAATTGGACTCTTCGATCCTTCCTAGAACAAAAGACATCTATTATTGAATCTGTATTGATTGCTTCCGTTATTTCTCTTTCAATGTAGACAACTAATGAATCAGTCAAATACTCATCTTCCATCTTATTACGAAGAGTACTTTTGACATGTTTCATGACTGAAAATGCTCTTTCTAAAGCTATCGTAGAAACGGGAAGAGTTAAAATAAGACGAATCAACCTATCAATCAAATTGTAGAACTCTGTCTTATTTGTTTCTACTAAACCACGACATAATTCTGAAATTGTAAACATACTTTGAAACATCTCATGGCGAACCACATCAAATCGATAATGATCCAATTGACATTTCAAATGATGCATGTCTTGTCTGTCAAAATCAGTTGCATAAAACTTCTCAGCAAGTAAACAAATGTGATCAGGATTGAAAGATTTAAAATTGTCCCGAGGATTTAAAGCAAAGCTGAGCATAAGCAATCCCTGTTTGTGGTTTTTGGAAGAGGATTAGTCGAGTATAACTAGAGGATGAATGGACGATATAAACGAAATTGAGATGTTTGGCGTTGGCGTAATCCTCTCTCTGTTCCGATCAAAATAGGTATAGAAAACCTTGAAAAACTCTTTATTTCCATGATTATTGGAGCTTAAGCCTTAAGGGCTTTGAGAAATTGAGCAAATGATTAGTGATTTAGTAAACTGGTACTGGTAGCCTNTCCATGATTATTGGAGCTTAAGCCTTAAGGGCTTTGAGAAATTGAGCAAATGATTAGTGATTTAGTAAACTGGTACTGGTAGCCTTGTATGAAAGTGATAATTTTTTTTTCTCTTTCAGCTTCAGCCCACCGTAGCCCACTAATGACTCCGTCCTTGCCCATTACCACTGTCATCTATCGTCAGCACCACACCACCATCTATTGTCGACCACCATCACTGCCAGCCACTGTCACTTATCCCACCAAACCTACCACCACCAACCACTACCATCTGTTATTGCCCATCACTGCAACCACCCACTGTCACCTACATTCACCACACTTATCACTACCGTCTTTCACCACCACTCATCACACTATCACCTAAAAGCACTCATCGTCGTCCATCACTATCATTATTATCGTCATCGTAGTCCCATCACCACCACTGTCAACCACCATCACTGTCGTCCACCACCACCCACACCCACCACCATCACTGTTGTCACCCATGATTATCACTACTATCATCATTACTCAAAACCCACCACCGTCATCATCATTGTCACCCACGGTTGCTACCACCACCACATTCATCGCCATACCCACCACAACCATCACCGTCTCCCACCACTACCACCGCTCACCCCACTATAATTGGTGCTTAAATTTCTTTATCACTCATCTATGTTTGTGGTTTGATTTTGAGTGTGAATACAAATATGTTGTCCATTTTTTTTCATTACTCCATGCCTTCAAAGCACTGGAAATAATTAGGGATTGCAATGGACCGAAAAAAAAATAAGTAATTGTTTAAACTCATCCCGTTTGAACTGGAAATGAAGTATACATATTAGACGATTAATGTATACGAGAATATCCATATAAACTTGTGCGGGAATAGACTGAAACTCATCCCCTCCTCACGTCCGCCTTGCCACACTCCACTAAAATAATTAAGTGAAACACATATTTGTTATACATATTATTTTTGTAAGTTTTAATGTTTGATCCATTTGTTATATAATGAGTTATTATTTTTCTTGCAAATACATTTGTGAGATTTTATGGGTTTTTTTTTAATTTTTTCTTAAAATCATAAAAATTAATTGTTATATGCGGAGACGGAGATGTAAATCAAAATTTACCTACAGGGTGGGGATGTGACTTAAAAAATTTTCCCG